TAAAAACGTGAACAATAATCACTTATTTTTCTAAATTTACAGATACAATGTACCGTGGTACATAACTCCTTTGAAAATTCAAAAACTAATTTTATTCGTATTACTTATTGGTAAAAACATTCATTTACCATTATTTGGTTCATTTGAAGGTTCATATGAAAGTTTTACAAAGGTAACGTGTATATTATAACTAATTGCCATATCATATTTTACGCTATAACAAATTTTATTATATTTTATTTTATGTTTTCCAGCTTGTAATGACATCGATGTCGTATTTCACAGTAATTTATTCTTTGCAATAAAGATTAATTGTATAACACGAATATTCATAATCAATTTTAAAAAGTTTCACTCTGTAGAAATGCAGTTCTATTTAAAAAGGATTTTATGTACATGATAATTTTAATCAGAAAAAATAAAGCATCAATAAAAAAAATACTTGCAAAAATACTATCTAGATATAAATTTATTTCTTATGATACATATACATATATGTATCATACCTGATTCAAAACTTATAAAATAACAATATTAACAAAGAACATCATCCTGACATCATCACTTAATCTCCCACTTCTTTCCGTGTATATATAAGAGGTTTATGAGAGATTGGTAGGAGAATTTAAGTTTTTCCAAACATTTGATTTTTACGATAAAATTGAGATGATGTCATTTTGATCGAGATTGCATCATCTTTTCACATCACTGTGATGATTGCACGTTATTTGGATTGTAAGTAAAACACATGAATTTTTATCCGTTTTATGAACTAGTGTATGTACATGCAAACATCATCATGCGTTACATACAAAGAAACCCTTTTATATGAATCAAGCAATTGAAATAATTTGCATCTTCTATAGTTTGTCTGTGAAAAATAAAAGAACGTCAAATTGAAATAGAAATATTCATTAATACGTGTATGTGTGTCACACAATTTCGCGTAAATGCAATTATATAATCATCAAATAATTTTTTTTATATATATTTATTAGTTATAACATTTTAATATAATTCAACATGGAAAATACTAAAACTTCGTGATATAATAACAGAGAATGTTATAATAACGAAAATTTTATGTCAGAAAAACTTTAGAAGATCTAGAACATTTGTTATATTGCACATTTACAATATTTTTATGATAATTTTGTCATTTTATCATTGATGATTTTATAAAATAGCCATAATTATTAATTATTAAGCATTATTATTAATACATTGTTTCTTTATTTTCAGGTAAGTACACACAAAGTTACCGTCGAGCTGAATAATGCGTGTATTTCTGTGGTGAGTAAAGCATGAATGTATATAAGATTGCGTGAAAAGAAAATTTGTTCTTAAGAAATATTCAGATATATCATAATTTCATTTTTGTATGAAGAATTTGTGTTTGACACAAATAATATACGTGAAGTATTTATCTATAAAAACAATTTGTAAAGAAATTTACATATACTCTATGTATATACCTATACATATAATATGTTGCATTATAAATTTTCTAATTATTTTTATCAAATATTCTCACTAAAACGTTGCATACTTTTCTGCATATATAAAATCTTAATGAAATGATTATTTTAATAATTATATATACATATATTTTTTACGTATATTAAATAAACTAAATACTTTCTTATTATTATATGAAAATTTTTATATTAGCATTTTACTTACAAATTTGCGAACATATAATAAAGAAAAAGTGGCCCTTATATAAATATAGATATGTACTAGATGCTCTTTGCTTATAATATTGAATATTTCCGTGTGTGTGTGTTTGATATGATTACACTATATAACTTGATGCAAAGTGAGAAACGCATCCTGCAGAGCACCGAAAGAAACTGAAACTTTTTTCCCTGCCAAGAAAAAGAAGTCATGACTGCGTTTGCGCAAGAATATTCCTTACTCTACATGTTAAAGAAATATTACAAATTGGGGTAATTCAGGCTAATTCGCTTTCGCCTATAACATGAATTCATTATTCCATTATTAGAAAAATACAACCATTTTTTTGCGATTACTCGTGTCGCGGGAGGGTATCGATCGTTCAAAATTCGCAGAAGCTTTCGTGCATGAGAAATAATGCGACAAGCTAAAGTCCGCACCACAGTTGTGCCGCAATTCCCGTGTGAGATGCACGTGATCGAACGTTATTACAAAATCAATCGAATAATTCTTAAGACGGTTGGCTTATGGCCCTATCAACAGTCATATCTCTCACAAGTACAGAATGTGTTGTTTATCACTATTCTCGTAACATTTATTATTGTTCAGGTATATCGAGCCACGCTTATATAATTTATATGATTAATTACTGATATTTCTCAAATACGTAAATTAATCATAACTTTATCGCTTTTTGTTATATCACATCTCTTCGTTATTTATACATTTTATATAAAGCAATTATTTATTAATAATATAACAGTTATTTGTATAACTTATTTATTTTAAATAAACTTATATTGTCTTTTATTGATAAAATGAAAAACACTTTAGGTGAAACATATTTTTACGTTACGTAGAAATAATTTATAACCAATGCATATCGTAAATATTGTTTTTTAGTTACTGGCATTCATTACAAAGCAATACAATACGAATCTCCTCCTTCAAATTCTCTCATTCGTCTTTCCTATTCTTATCGACACGATAAAGTATTGCCTCTTTATCATTCAGGCAGATAGCGTAAGTTCAACAGGACATGTCGTTCATTCGAACGTTTTATTGTAATATTTGTAAATTGCATTCTAATCATTGTTAAGAAAAATGTGGAATAAATAGCTGAAGCAACTATTGGAGCAAATCCAAGATGACTGGAGTTCGCTAAAGGATAAATTGGAAATTAATATTATAGAAAAATATGCTTACAACGCGAGACTGTTTACAATAGTTCTAATGGGTAAAAATATAAATTATCATAATTTTGTGATAGCACACATAATATTATTTTATTATTTTATTATTATCAACAATTTTTTTACTGATAAAATTAGGAACGTTTTTAACGCATTTTGAACAATTTTTCAAAATAATTTGAATTAACTTAGATTTAACCTTTCTCAGTGTATTGCTATTTTGGCTTATTATCCTGCGGAATATTTCAATTTTTACCGATAATCCTTGATGTTATCTTACCGTTAAACGATTCACGGCCCTGTCAGCTCTTCGTAATTACGGAATACTTCGTCAGTCAGGAAAAATATTTTTACGCTCTGGTGTTTCATGAGGCATTAGCCTACACTATAGGAACGGCCGCATTGTGTGGTACCAGTGCGACAATTATGATATGTATCCTACACGCGTGTGCTCTATTTAAAATAGCAAGGTAAACGTGAAATCTACTTATACTTTAACGTATTTTTTCTATTTGAAATATACTTAGATAAGTTTATATAGTTGTCGAATAGAAAATGCGATCAAGAAGAGTACATTAATGATTCCTAGTCGTAGAAGAGAGTATTTCCTCTACCGGAGAATTGTACATGCGATTGTCATGCATCAAAGGGCCACCAAGTCAGTATTTCTATATTTTTATTGAGAACTTTCAATTCTTTACAATATCTTATTTTTTGAATCATTTCTTATTCATTAAAAGTAGTTGATATTGACTGCGAAATTCTTTTGAAATTGCATGTTTAATATAAATATCAATGTAATTCAATCGTATTATCAATGTATCCTTGCATTAAATGCAATCCAAAGCATGAGTTATTTAAAACGTAAAATCAAATTTAAGCATTCTGTATAAAATGAATCTGAAATATTTGCTATTTATTTTAATAACACACTCAAAAACAACATATCTATGTGAAACGTAAAATCAGGTAGCTAATATAAAACATGTGATTAAAATATAACATATTATAATAGATTACAATATTACGTTTCGATCATACGAGAACAATTGTTGAATATGTAGTATGTATGTAGAAGCTTACTTTATATTTGTAATGTAATAGTTCCAATGTATAAACCTCGTTAAAGGTTTGCTGAACTTTTGACATCCAGTTTTGCGGCATTATTCTCTATCCTAATCATAGTTGGCGTCAGTTCTTTAACTTTCAATCTCTTTCAAGTAAGTAATATTGTTTTCTACTTTGGTTAATTGCGAACTGCCTTTTTACATAGCATCATATCGTAGTTCCTTCAATTAATAACGCTAACAAAAAATACCGGTCAGGCATCTATAGTCGCTGTATTAATACTCCTACATTTCAATTATATGTTCGTTGCTAATTACGGGGGACAAGAATTATTGAATCATGGTCTAAAGCTGTTCAAAGCAACGTGAGTATTGTGTTTTGCAGTACTTTTAGAACTATATTTATTTATACAAGCTATATTTTCATACATCTGTGCGTATATGCTTTAGAGTTAAATTAATATATTACATGCATTCTCCCGATACTTTCAAATATGTAGATAATTTAGCATTAATTATATCGCAAAAATGTTTACTTTTTACTATATCTTTGTATACTTCACAATCAATTTTATTTTCAATGTTTAAAAAATTATAGGTATAACGGACTATGGTATGCAGCGCCGTTGCGTACGCAAAAACTGTTGTTATTTATAATGCAAAAGGGAACAATAAATGTCGGTTTCACGTGTGGTGGCATATTTGTTGTATCCCTAGAAGGTTTCGCTACGGTAAAATTAAGACTTCTTTAACGATAGAAAATTCAAATTTTAATGTTTCTGCAGTATACAGAATAACGTGCTTTTTTTCAGCTCGTGAATGCGGCAGTATCCTACTTTACGTTGATTTATTCTACGCGATAAAAACAAGTAAAATTCATTATTAATTGGACTTTATTGAATTGACAAAGAAATACAATATAAATATTGTACAATGTAAAATTATGTTGAATACTGTGTATTAAAGAAATTAAATATTCTTTTACTTCTAATGCTTTACGCCAATAATTAGTAGGTAATTTAAAAAAGAAACAGGCTGGCTAATTAATTCTATCAGTATAAATGGGATAAATATAAAAACCTGAATTACTTATTTATTATTATATTAATAATAAAACATTGAATTTATTTTACAAATGGTTTGTTAAATCATCTTTTTATGTGATATTTTTCAAAGTTCTGAAACTGTTTCACCGAAGAAATATACGATAATACGCATGCGCGTTTACATGCGGAACGCTTCTGCTGCGATCAGCTGATAGCAGATCTGACGGTGAAATACTGAAATGCGTCGCCTTTATCTCTTCTATCTGATTCGCAATTATCTGATAAGTTATTTTCTTTTATAATTCAAAAATTAAGCTTTGGAAAAAGTTTTGCAAGAGGAAAAGTCATTTCAGAATTTAATCAGGAATGCGTCTTTTCGGGGGAAGTTATTCTGAATTATTCTTTACGATATGCGATAATTGATAAAAAATTTTCATATAATCTTTAAACCACCACATCCCAAAAAATTACACTAGCCACAATGTCGGTCTGGCAGACCGTTATTATGCTCTTGCTAATTTTATAAGTTATGTATAATAAAAATGTATATTTTCTGAATATTTGTGATGGGGAAAAAGAAAATGTGTATGTTTTAATGTGAGGGTTAACAAAAAAATCTCGTATACAATAGAAATAAAATATATTTAAATGGTGACAAATAAGAAAATGCTTGACAAGTAACGTTTTAATAGCGGTCTGTGAGACTAATACAGTGATTTAAAGGATAAGATAATATATATGTAAATAAACAAACATATCTGATTATATACGAAATTTGTCTATATTCTGTTGAGCGAGCTAGTTGAGCGAGTATTCTACCATCTTTCGCGCATAAGGGATGGCATAGCGAGTAAAATGAGGATATATACCTACCCAGTACCGTAAATACAACACGCATTAGCAAACTGCATAAGCAGTACAAGGCTGTGGAGAGGGAGACTTCTATGGGCGAAGACCTATGCAAAATGGACGAATTTTCGTCCGATCTCTGATAAATCTCTCGCTGAACAGAGTATGTACCCATATGTCCATATTAATTTCTTTTTTTTGTAAAATTTCTGTGGTATTAGTAAAAATAAATCAGAAATAACTAAATAATGCCATCGTGAATCGATATGGATGTTGGTGTGTAATAATTTTTATTGTTACAATATTCAGCCACACACACTGCGCACTACATTTTTGTCGGTCTTAAAACAATTTTTACATGAGGCCGGAATCGACTGTAACGAATTAAATTGATGAGCAATTTAATATGATTGATGCTAACAAGTATCTACAAAAATAAAAAATAATAATAATAAAGAGATGACATAAAAATTAATTTAAAAAATCATTTTTGCATTGTTTTTTTTACAAAAAGTCAAGTTAAAAAAAAACGAAAAAAATTATTTAAAAATATACATATAATTTTATGTACATGATTAAAAAATTATATATATATATATATATATATGAGTATTATGCAATTTTTTTTTGCTTTCTTAAAACTTTAATTTTTGTAAAAAAACAATGAGAAAATTATTTTTTAGCGTTTTTATCTTCTCATTATTATTATACATTTTCTTGTGCCAAAAAGAAAGGATATGGACAAATTTTGCATAAACATGATACGTTTAGCTAAACAAATGCTTAAGTAATTAAGAATTACTCGTATTAAATGTTTTTATATTTTTATTTTTTTATTTCTAGAATCTAAGTAATATTGAAAAATAAGAAATTTATATAATATTTATATTTAATACATATATATGAAAAACATTTAAAACGATAGAAATATAGATGTTAAAACTTACAATTTAGCGCAGTGGATCGTTTCAGGTTCAATCAACTTAGCACTTAAAGGTAGAAGAGCTGATGTGTCGTTTGATGCACTCTCCACAAAGTGTATTTGTCACTACGCATATACATGAAAAATAAGGGATTATAAAACACTAATTTCTGCAATAAGTTTTTTAAATATTTTAAATAATCATTAGAGAATATAATATTGCGTATATTTTGTATATCTATGTTGTATATTGTAACAAACAAAAAAGTAAAATCACATAAACAGTGACGTATAAAAAAGAAACACATTTTTCTTATGAAATATATGCTTCGTAAAATTTTACGTTAATATAGTTAATGATAGATATTTAAAAAATATTAATTTTTCAACAAAAAATTTATAAGTTTATTTATTTTTCTTTATTATATTATATTATTTTAAAATTAAATATACATATACACAAAATATGTTCCGTTTACTTCACTGTTATAGTTAAAAATTATATGTATACATATATGTATAAGCACTTATTTTAATACATATACGAGACACATTGGCTAGATTGATGAATTGTTTTTCAAGAATCCATAATAAGAAAAAAAGCAGTTATAGACTGGATATAGTTGTAAACGAATATGCCGTCTTTTGATTTATGTTCTTGCATTCTATAGTTGATATAGGATAACATACTATAATGTCCCGAAAGAAACTGAAGCCTTTTCTATTGCCAAGGGGAAAAAGATATTACTGCGTTTGCGCAAGAACATTATTCCTACCTACGCATTAAAGAAACATCACTCTCAATTACAAATTGAGATAATTCAGTCTAATTCGCAATTTGTCTATGTCATGAATATTTCGCTACTGGAAAAAATATAATCGGCTTCTTTACACGGTAGCTATTATTATGAATAGGTACGTTGTTTGTAATTCACAGAATTTCGAATAGAATAGTCCGACAATTTGAAAATTTTTCTCATATAATGTCGCAGTCCTCATGCGAGACGCGTGCGCTTCAAAAGCGCTACTACAAGATCTATCGAATTATACTTAAAGCACTTGGTTTATGGCCTTATCAACAAACATATCTCACATGGCTACACAAAGTGTTTTTTGTTGGTATTCTTTTTGGATCTATTCTTGTTCAGGTATGTTGAGTTATATTTATATAACTTTTAAAGTAATTAATCAGTGACTTTTTAAATAATAAATGCACACATAATAAATGTATGTATCTTTTTTTATTAAATCTATTCATCTTTTTTGTATCTTATATAATGCATGGCAAAATTTTATTAATAATATTATAGTTTTTTATATAATTTTCTAAACTTAAATAATCTTGCTGTTTCTTTTACATGATAAAGTAAATCCTATATAACGATATATGTGGAACACATTTCAATAGAAACCATATGCTACGTAGAAATTATAATCAATACATATTTTAAATGTTATTTCTATAGTTGTTGGTATTCATTACGAAGCAATACAATGTCGACTTTCTTTTCAAAATTTTCTCATTTGTCTTTCCTATTACTTTCATTATAATAAAATATATCGATTTCATCGTTCAGGCCGACGATGTAAGTTCAATAAGATAAATTATTTATTCAAATGTTTCATTGCAATATTTATAAAATATAAATGATATGCGAAATATTAATAAGTAAAAATAATTATTTAATGAATAGTTGAGGATACTGTTGGAACAAATCCAAGATGATTGGAGTTCGTTGAAAGATAAATTGGAAATTAAAATCCTAAAAAAATATGCTTGCAACATGAAATTATTTACAATAGCTGGGACAGGTAAGAATATGAGTTATCATGATATATTTATATTATATGTACACGTAATATTATATTCATCCATTTTTATTAATAAAAAATATTTTTAATTCATCTCGAATAATTTTCTTAAAATTATGTCTATGTATGTGTCTAATTTAACTCAAATTAAATTTAACATTCCTCAGTGTATTGCTATTTATCATTATTGTCTTGTGGAATATTTGAATTTTTTCCGTTAATTCTTGATGTTATACTACCATTAAATGAATCACGGCCGTTTCACCTCCTGATGCTTACGGAATACTTTGTCAACCAAGAAAGATATATTCGCTATTTAATTTTACACGAGTTATTAACCGGTTATGTAGCAATAACTATAGCATGCGGCATTTGTATGATAATCGTAATGTATATAATGCACGCATGTGCACTATTTAAAATCGCAAGGTAATATGAAATGCATTTGTCTTTTCTTAAGCACTTATTTTAATTAAAATACAATTTAAGTAGATTTATATAGTTATCGAATAGAGAATGCGATCCAGAAAAATATATTAATGGTTCCTAGTCCTACAAAAGAGTATTTCCTTCATCAAAAATTTGTACGTGCAATTGTTATACATCAAAGAGCCATCGAGTCAG